AGGTACTTTTCTAAGTTCTTCTCGAATAAGATCCTTCTCCACTTCACTGAGCTCATTGGTGGCACCACCGTTGACGAACTGCTGATCACCAGCTGAAGAAAAAACAACAACAATTAACAAAACACTGAAAACAATCAGACTACCACTCAGATTCCTTGTCAACTATGAGCTAAACAAAAATATATCGGATTTTCCTTTTTTCGAATCTAGCCTGTCTTTAATTTATATTCGTTTACACCATTACCTACATGTTGTAGAAATTTTAAAGATACAAACAATGAATATCTCTGGCTAGGAGACCGGAAGAGGATGGGAGAGGGGGAGGGAGCTGAAATCGTCTGTGCGTTAATATATGCAGTTTGTTTAGCGCTTAGTGAAATTGAACTACCTGAGTGTAGAAGCTTAAAAATTACTAACTGCATTTGGAATCTGCACCTGGAAAAGAACACTGTCCGCCAGATTTTGTATTTAAATGAACAAAATTGGTACTGTATAAAATCAACAAAGCAAAGTTTATAATTTTACCTGAATCCAGGAAATACACCGCGGAATTAATGAAATTATTATAAAAAAATGGAAATTACAATGGGGAACCCGAATAAAGGAGTAAGGTCCTCGAGCACAGAGGAAGAAAGAGAGGGATGACCACCGACCTTGAATAACATCCTCTTCCTCATCATCCGAAGATCGATTCAATTCATCAGCAAATTTATCCATAGCATCGTGCATTTTATCATCTTTCTTACTCGATAACGATGATAATTCTTGCACCGCTGCTACTGCTGCTGGCTTTTTTCCAGATTTATCCTTGGGAGGTGGTGGCCTCGTCGGAGGCATCTGACTTTTTTGCTCTTTTCCCGGCTAAACATTCTGCGGTAAATGAAACTCAAAAAATACGATTCAGGGCGGACATGCAACAGAAATCGCGCAGAAGGACCGGATTCGAAATGCAACAGAAGGAAAACGGTCGATAAAAATACAAGATTCTTAATACACAATAAAAATACACGATTCTTAAGTAAAAGCAAAAGAAAAACCCGTAATCAAACAAACCAGGACACTATTTTACGAATGAAATGAACTGAGTATTACGATGGGATAAGTCTAAATATCATGTGAAGCGGAGATTTCGAAACAGCTAAAGCCCTGCCGTGTTTTCAGAGCATCACCGAGCTAAGATTTCTTTTGAGGGAGACGAAAAAATACGAGGGTTGCTAGTAAGCTGACCATCAAACGATTTAGCATCGGTCAAAAAAACTGGAAAGATCGCACGGCTGTAGAAGTTATAAATCCTCCAAGCAGAACAACATATCCCCCGGATCGAGGTCAATCCTGATCCCAACACA